TGCTCTCTTTGTTTTGAAATGTAGATGAAATTACAGAGCTCGGAAGAATCCTGACTGGGTGAGCAATGGTTAAAAAGGCAGGTGGTGAGGGCCTTGCCAAACGTCTGCCTCTTAGTCTGACAAATGCCTCCCAAGTAGAATAATGAAGAAGTATTTGGGGAGTTTCAGTAATGCAAAGCATAAAAATAATGCTCTTCAATGTGGTATCGAGAGCTAGAGCTTTAGATTAAAATGAATTCCACTTCCTCAAAACCAACCTGTATTTTCAATTAGCAGAAGGCCTCAGTTTTGATTTGCTCTTGTAATCCCCTGAAGCTGTGGTTTCAGAATGAGCTGCTGTGCCAAGTGCTCTGCCAGCACAAAGCTCCTGAGGAGTTTTCAGTTTCAGTACTGAGGTAATGTGGATCCTCCCTTCCTCCCCTCCGAGAAAAATCGGACTAAAATAAATCTAAAACTAAAATCAACATAAAATTATTTTCATGGAGGCTGTGGATTGAAAAAGGGTAGAGATAGGAAAGGGTAAGGATAAACAGGATTGAGGGAGACCTTCCCATTGAGTCAAAGTGGATCCCCTTGCTAAACTTAGCCCCGGACTTGACCAAGGGTTTAGGCCTGAAGGTTTTAACTGCACTTAAATGTAACAGCCTCATTGAAACAATTTAACAAAAGATTCTACAAGACAACAGTAACTCCTTATAGGGCTAAGTTAGTTACAAATCTGAAGTAAGAGAGAATGTTAGACAGGAACCTTCATGGTGCTTTTGCTGTAGCATATTCATGCTCACACAGGTGTAAAGGAGTTAGTACAAGGTGGAAAATGCCCCTGGAGTTCAGTGAAGGCATGGGATACCTTTTCATCTTCTCAGCAGGCCAGGGGCTGAGCCTTGAGGAGTGACAGCACCAACCCTGGATCCATCATTGGTGTGCAGCAGTGGTCTCCCACAGACAGTGAACTTGAGAGTTTTCTGGCTCTAAGAGGTTGTCTGGTTCTAAAATGAAAGAAACCATGAATCATTCTCACTGAAATATTTTTGGGTTTTTGTTTTGTTTTTTTCAGGAGTTTATTTTGAAAAGGTGTTAAAGAGTTCAGATACTTCCTTGTGGGTGAGGAACATTCAGCTGTACTTATCTGGGATTGTGGTGAATTTATTTGTTGTGTACATGTCAGATGGAGCCAAAGTTCTTGAGAAAGGGTTTTTCTATGGCTACACATACTACGTCTGGTTTGTTGTCTGTAAGTATCTTGTGGTTTTTGTCTTTCGACATTGTTTTTTTCTTTAACAATGATACAACTGATTGCAAGGAGCTACAAATTCAGTTTGACAAACTCTCAACTGTGTTTTGAGGGATTTTATTTAAAAGTATAATTTTCTTGGAAGTTATTCACTTATTCAGTTTAAAAATGTGCTGAAACAGTAGCCTAAATAATTGACTAGCAAGTAGATCATCTTTAAATGAGTTATATCTTATTTACTGGATGCCATGTAGACATCCCATTCCATTGAATGATCTGTTAAATCATTAATTAGGACAATGTAGTCCAAAGTAGGAGCACACTAGTGGAGAAAATGCATCATTTTCAGAGTAACCTAAGGCACCTGTACTTATGGTAACACCTTATCTGCTTCCCAGTTCTGGCCAGCGTGGGTGGCCTCTACACCTCGGTGGTTGTTAAATACACAGATAACATCATGAAAGGCTTTTCTGCAGCGGCAGCCATTGTTCTCTCTACTGTGGCATCAGTCATCCTCTTTGGCCTCCAGATAAGTAAGTGCCTCTTTGCCTTTGGTTTGATGGCTGTGCATGTTTCCTGCCTGCCCGGCCTGTATGGCCTTTGGCTCATACCAAAGCCAAACCTCTCAGTTTTTCTGGTTTTAGCTTCAAGTCTTCTCCAGGACTCCTGTGCACTAATGCATCACCGGTCCCTGTTGTGGTGCACAAAGGTGCTTGATGAGTCTGCTTTCAAAGGCATTGGTGCTTTGTTCTTTCAGAGGCATCTGCAACTTCAAACAGAAAGAACATTTCTGGTTTAAACAGCTTTATTTTCATGCATCACTTTCTGATGCAGTTCAGTGTGCGATACAGCTGTTTACCTGGACTGCTGTTGATGAGTTATTATTTCTTGTTGGGTTTAGTACAGCCAGTGCCAAATTAATTCCTCAGCTATTTCTTCAAGGGCTTTACACATCCCTGATGAGTTACACCCACTACTGCATTAACTTTTACTTTCCCCATCTGCTGTGGACACCACCATGAGAAAAAGTCAAAGAGCAGCTGGGATTGTGACTGACTGATGTGGTGAATGTCTTTGAGAGGAAACAGCAGATGGCTCTGGGCTGTTCTGTAATTTTCTCCCCACTCAAGTCTGTGTGTCTGATACTGTGCCTAGCACTCCCACTCAGTCCTTCACTGTTCAGTGGGTGTTTTCTTACCTTAATCCAAAGATGGTGTGGGAAAATGGTGGGAAAACTAGCTTTTTGATGTAGTATTAGTGAGACAAAACTTAAGAAAAGTTTGCATAGGGAGAAAATAATCAGTTTGGCTGCAAAAGAGCACTATAAAGCAAGGGATGAAAAAAATTTAAAAACTTACTTGGGCAGTGTTTTCTTGACAGTTGACACAAATCAAACCTGGACTAATGATCTTTCTGAGAAAACCTCATTAATAGAGCTTTTTAATAACTCTGTCTAGACATGGAAAGGCAAAAAAAAGTGTTATCACAGGCTATTTTGTTACATCCACTGGCTTTTTATGATTTAAGTTTATTGTAATGTAAGCCTGCACAGATGGCACCTGGGACTGCAGGAGATGCTTTACTCTTGCTTTTATGACCACCACCACCACATTCTTACTATGAGATGAACTGGAACCGTGTGGGGGTTGTAAACACTCAGGAGATCCCAGTGACAAAGGACGAAGCTAAATGCTGTGACACATCAACAGTTTGCTGTCTTGTTTAGTTTTGGGTAACTTCAATACTGTCATTCAGATATCATAACTTACATGGCTTGCTGAAGGTTTCTTATATCAATGTATTAATTCAAACTATTTTGTCTCCTTTCAGCTGTCACCTTCTCCCTGGGTACTCTCCTGGTGTGTATTTCTATTTACCTCTATGGATTACCTCGACAAGACACCACAAAAATCCAGCCCTCAGAGACTAAAAGCACTAAAGAGAGACTTGCTACTGTGTGATGTTGTCCATAAAAATGGACAGATGGACAAGAGAAAAAACAGACTTTAAAAAAACCTGCTTTTTTTTCCAAAATTAGCCTTAAGCTAGTCATGAAATGGTTTAAGTGGGATAGACTAAAAGGAGAAGTTAGTTCTGTTTTACATGTGGAGTTTCCAGTGGCTGACACTGAGGCTACACTGCAGCTGAGGAGCTGGCTGGGTATTTTATGGAAAGTATTCTTCATTCATGTTGACAATGAAGAGTCTCATTTACAAAGAAAACCCAATGAAGGAACTGATCACTCACTTGTATATAATGTATATAATGGAGGGAAATCGGTTCTTTGTGTATTTGATAAACTGTCTTGCTCTTTGAGGGCAGAAATGCCTGAAAAGCTTCATAAAAAAAAATATTAAAACAAGCAACTACTGCCACCATTTTCTCTTAAGATACTTGGTAATTGCAGTTTGATTAATGACAGGAAGCGTTTCTCTTCTAGGCACTAAGCACGAGATGATGCAACCCTACAGGGAGTACCCCTGCTTTGAGCATCACCTACCTCAGAGTGACTAGAGGTAGCCCTTGCTGTTTAAAAAGTCAGATGAAAAAATCTGAAGCTGTGGCTTTCCTTTTACTCTATAAGTGTTTTGTATATTGGCTGTAGGTGGTAAAGGGATCTTCTATGCATAGTACAGGGGATGGTTTGTACTTGTTCCTGTACCTCTGGCTTAAGTGTGAATGAGTCACACAAAGTTGCTATCTAGATCTTTTCTCTCTCAGCCTCTCCATGCATGCAGATGCTTGAAAAGGGCTCCTGTAATGCATGTTCACCTTTAATTTATCAGTGCCAACTCTGCAACTTCAACCTCCTTCCTCATCTTCTGAGGCCTTCCAGATATTTCAGCTCTACATTGAGGGAGAACTGACCCTGGCGCATTCAGGCAAGTTGTTGACGTTCACAGTGGAGTTGAAATGTGACCAATTTCATACTCTTGGCTACATTTCTTTGGAGGTGAATTAAGGAGCTGGGTTTACTTGAAAGTGGGGCATGCTAAACACAGCAGTAACAAACATGCCTAAATTCTCTTCCAGTAGGAGAGGATGGTCCCCTCTGCCTTTCGCTAACTGTTCCACAAGAGTGTTGCTCTTGGGAGTCGAGGCTTCCATGTTGGAAGGTATTGCCAGGCAGCTGCAGCACCTCACAGGTGCTGCTCCACCTCTCTACAGCAAGGTGAGGCTGAGGGGTGCCAAGCAGCACCTGCCACGTCTGCCTGTGTGCACAGGGCTGAGGGAACACTGCGCTTCCTGTTCCACCAGCTGCACAGCAATCTCTTCTCACCGGCCAGCACGTCAGTGGGACCAAGGAAGGGCTGAGGAGCAGGGTGGGACAGCTGGCAGTTGGGCTTGGCCGAGGTTTCTGAAGGAGGAATGCAGCACAACACCCAGGTCTCTGAGGGTCTGAGTAACTCCTTTTGTTACAACAGACAGAGAACCTGAAGCCATTGTGCCATTAGGCCTTGGTACACAGTGGCAACCGCAGGAGTGGAGAACTTTGCTTAGGGCAGCACAGTTAACAGCACTTCCTCTACTAAAAGGATGTGGTATTTACATGGCAAATACAAAGCAGTTCTCTTTTATGGGAAATTCCGGGTAGAGCAGTGTCTTAAGTACACTGCTGCCACCAAATGTCTGAAGTGACTGTGATAGCCTGGCCCCTGCCCCTGTGCCACACCTGCTAGTAGGATGGAGAACACAAACCTGCCAGTGCAGATGGAGTTTCCAGCCTGCAGCAGCAGTGACACACAGAAGAAGATTCATAGTACTCTGGAAAAAAATAATTTTATTACAAGATATGACTTGACATTGGATATGGCCTCGTTACATTTGAGTTACAGGCGTAATGCCAAGGAGTTTCATTCCGTTGGCTAGAACTGAGCGTGCTGCGTGGAAGAGACAGAGCCGTGCCTGCAAAACAAGGAAAAAAAGTCATTTTAGGGTAGTGCTAGAGAATAGGGTGTGGTTCTTCAGACAGCAGTTAGACGCCGAGGTGAGAACACCGAGGTGAGAACACCGTGTGCTGCCTGTCCCTGTGCACTCTTAGCCCCCACTGGGACTCGAATCTACACAAAACCCGAGTATTAAGGATCACACGAATGCTGCCAGAATTCACACCAGCTGTTGGCAGCCTATTGCACTGTCAACAGAGGGACACTTTGTCAAACCAAGGAAGGTGGGAAGGAATGCCCAGCCCAGCCCCCGGGGCAGAGCAAGCAGAGATGCATGAACAAGAACGCAATGACTAAAAGCTGAAAATCTTTCATGCACCAGGGGCTAGTACAGCCTGATGATACCGCTGGAATCCCTCCCCTCACTGCCTGGTGACAGGCTGTCAAGCAACTATGGGCTGCCTCTTCCTCATCAATGTTACACAGCTGGCTGTTTGGAAAGGGCTCTATCAAGCTTGCTTCAAAAATCTTAGCTCTTGAAAGCTGTCACATTGCAAGATACTTAAAATATTTTTATTTACAGGATAAGGAACTGAAGTTTTCCTTGAAGTTTGATGCAGTCAAAGGAATGAACGCCTACAGTATCTAGCTCAAATACAGACTGCAGCTCCACCAATTCCACTGCATGTTTTTCCCCCACAGCACAGCTCAACACTTAAATGTGATTTCCTACCAAAATCAAATAGGTAATTCCTTTTGAAATAGATGAAAGAAAATAAGAGAGGCAATGTAATGTATAATTTACTGAGTCGTTAGGGGGTCAAACATTGCCTAGGAGATCAGTAAAAAGAATTTGCATTTATTTGGAATGGCACATTAACAGCTGTCAGCTTCTGTGCTTTAGCTAGAAAGGCAATACCGTCAACTTGGGATATGTAGGTGGCAAGAGGGAGGAGACAGATTCAGTTCTCTCCTAATTCTTTATCTTCCCACATAACCACTAAAGGAAACCACCAAAAGTCAACGAGCAAGTTAAATGCTCAAATGTTTACTCTTAAAACATTTAGAAGGAAAGGTGATGACAAGGTGTTTGAGTGGGTCTGGAGCAGTTGTCCTTAGGGAGTGTTGTGTTTTTGGAGGATCAAGCAGAGCAGCCCTTTCCGGAAGGCACAGCTGTGAACAGCCATCCCTGCGTTCCCAAAGCGGTTCCGCCCACGGGAGAGCCCGGCTGTTGGCTCCTCCGCCTGCGGGCTCGTATTCCCCCCAGTGGTGACACGGCTGGGCTGGCAAAGCCCTGCCCTGATGGATCCTTCCTAGGCTGCCCCCCAGGCTCCAGCCCCCAGCCCCACCGTGCCGCACCTGTGCCACGTCGGGGGCGCTGCCTTTCACGGGGAGGGTTTTGTGTGCCACGGCTGCCAGGTGGCTGAAAGGGAAAACATGGGACAACGGTGAGAAGGAGCAAGTCACTTGACTAACGCAGCAGCGCTGTGGGCTACAGAAAGCAGCAGAACTGGAAGAGCCACCCACAACTGCAGCATGCCACGGGCTGATTTCCAACAGCCTCTTCACCTGGTTGAAGGAGGGTATGGTTCCCCGTAACCTGCATGGTGTTGATGGCATGCCCTGATAATTTCATTCTCCTAAAATAACCCCAAAATAATCTCCCTGCTTCACACATACCTTTCCACTGCCTGCCCTCTCTCCCCTCAAAAAACCCACAGAACTGCTCTGGGAAGATCCTTGAGAGCCTACCTTATCATTCCCAAGATGCATGATTCTTTACACAATTTTCCTTAACTTGTTAAAGCCTTCCCCATACACAGGCTCTACAGCTTTCTCCTCCAAGCCTACACCAGCATTTCATGGTGCTGTTCAATCCCTCTGGGAACCAGATACACCGTATGACTTACACTAATGACAAGCTTTGTTCATGGGCTGAGATAGTGGTTAAAAGTGGTTTGGATAAAATTTCCTAGCTGAAATGTTGATATTGAGAGGATGTTAGCAGCTAAAATCTGCTCCTTAAGACATCATTATTCCAGCATGATTTTGGGTTCAGATACTGGGTTTCAGCCAAATGATTATGTCTTCTTAAAAGCTGTTAAGTTTCTCAGGAGGCTCCTGGCTCCAGCCTTAATCTCAAGTATTTATAACATTATTTGCTATCCTACTTTATATATTTCCTGCTTCAGGGAAACTGTGCCACAAATTTACATCTTCCCACTATTTTTACTCTTCAAAGCAGTGCAGATGTGAGCACTGCAGAGCCAGCTCAGGAAGACCTGTCATCACTGGAGACACAGCCAGGATCAGCAAACACCTTACCTCAGTGTGAGGAGGTAGCTGACAATGTGCTTGGGTTGCAGATCCTGAGAAGATCTGTACAGGACCTCGTCATACCTGTGAAGGAAGGAAAGGATTGTTTGCTGCTGAAGTGTACAAGGTGTACTCAGATAGAAGGCTCATCAGACTTGCTTAAGTCAGAACAAGCACACAACCACAGCTGTAGAATTAGCAAAATCAATCTTCTGAAGCAGACCTAAGCCATGTCATTAGCACACAACTGATTATTCCTTCCTTGTTCACTTATTATTGAAGGAGATTGTTTCTGCTCCTCATCATGCAAACAGCTCAGAGAGGCAGGCTACAGCAAAGAGAACACAAGAGCTATATTTGTTCCTGGAACATTGTGTCTGGTTTTACATCTCAACACTAATTGTACGTTTCTAGGAGCAAAAAACGTGTTAAATAACCAAGTCAAAATAGCCCCTTAGAGGACACTGCCTTTAGCAAATGCAGCTTAGAATTTTAAGTAGATAAAAGGAATCTTGCAACATTAGAAAAAGAAATTCTGGAATACAGCATCACACAGAATGGTTCAAGTTGGACGAGACCACTGGGTCTCTGGTGGGTGATCCGGTCCAACCTCCCTGCTCAAGCAGGGTCATCCTACATAACTTACACAATACACTTGACTTTGTTAGACAGTATTAAACAGGGTAGTACAGGCAGTCATGACAGCTATGTTTTTTTCTTCATGTGTTTTGCTGTCCTTTTTCACAGCCTGCAAGAAGGTACCAACACCTCCAGGGCTGAAGAGATTTCAAATTCAAAGTGGGGACTGGACTTCCTGATCTCTGCTCAGCTCCCAGGCCCATCCCTGCCAGCGTGTCCAAGCTGAACTGCCATGGAATCTTCTATTCTTTAAGACAAGCTGCAGAACTGGGGAGCACATAGTGCTAACAGCTCAGCAGTCATGTAAGACTATAAAATACTCCAAGGAACAGCTCACATGTTTTCTGTGAAATACAATGGCACTGCATAAATAAGACACTACTGGTCCTGCTGAGAGCTGGCTGCTCCTGCTGTTGCTCAAGAGAGCGTGCAGCAAACCATGGACTGCAGGGAGGCCTCTGGAGGCCGCTCCAGTTAATGCTAGGGCTCTGCAGCCCACATGTGCAGGTCAAAGGAGCCACCTGGCGCACTGGCATGACTTTTGAAAGTCCTAATTTTAGACAGATGGCCTCAGGGAGGTCTTAGTATGGTCAAAAAAGTTCTTGCTGACACTGCACAATGTGCAATGCAGTATATAGGCATTCCCAGTAGGAATTCTGAAAGCTTTGGTAGTTTCTGACTCCATCACAGGCTGTGCAACATTGACAACTCCCTTGTCTCCATGGTTTAATTACACATCTATGAACTAATGAAAACAAACTGCTCAACTGAGAGACTGAATTAATGAAGAACACCACTGTTATTAACAGGTACCAGTTGTACATGTTCAGTAGTTCTGAAGGATGCTGAGCCCCGAAATGTGCAGGCACATACTCCAGGTACCTTACCACCTCTTTCCTCACATTACAAAAACAGAACATGAGGGACCAAGCAAAGCTGCAGCCAATATTTATACAGAGCTGAGCACACTTGTGTGAAGACAAATAATTAGGAGGCTCATGTACACAGACTATGATCCAAATACTGCTCTTTCCATCATATGGCTTCTAAAGCCACAGGCATTTCAAATGCTGCAATCCATGTGGCACAAAAGGCAGGTCATTGCCTCAAACAAGCCATTTTTTCTTACAATCATGCAGTCTGTGCCCTCTCAATAGGTCAGTGGCATATCCAGAAATTTATTTTAAGGGAAATGGTATTTGAAAAGAAAACTACACAAACCTGAGAAGATGCTGAAGAACAGAGATGGCATCTGGCTCTTGCAAGCATGCCACATTCACATCAGCTAGCTCTGCATTCCCATGCATCTGTTCTAAACTAAAACATAAGAATGGAAGACAAATGTTGGATGAAAACCGCCTCTTAGCAATGCTGAACGAAAAAACCACAGTAATCTGTGTTTTTAAGAAAACAGGGTAGGCTCTGCTCAAGTGAGTGGAACACTGAAACAGACTAGTTAACTTTAACCTAAGGTTAAAAAAAAAAAAAGGGTGCTGGCCATTCAATTATCAACAGGATTAGAGATATGCATGGATAACAGATCCAGAAGCTAAAAGGACTAGGGAGGTAGTCAATCCCCTACTAATGGTTCCCTGGAACCACCAATACCTACATGACAAGGGAGCACAAGAAGAACAGACCAGAGAAAGGGATCAGGATCATTCTCCCTGAACACCATGTCCTGCTACCACTGCCTCACAACATCAACCTGCTTCACACCTTTGGCCTCACCCAGGAAGGAATCTTACATGAAAACACGTATTGAGGTCTGCTCTGGCAATTCAGTGTAATTGATAAAACTGTTCAACTTGGACTCTTCTGAAACTCTTTAAAAAAATTAAACATGTGAAGTGTTTGACCTGAGTCAACAGGAAGGGATCTCCTTTTAATCTTGGCTATCAACTGTGGGAAATAACAATGTTAAAAATAATCCACTAGTTACTGTGGGTAGCCAAAACATCCAAGTTTGTGATGTGGTATGTTTTACAAGTATGGGCATTTTGGCTTTCACATCAGTTTCCTTAGTTCTAGACAACCATTCCTCATCAGTGACACCAACCACAGAGAAGCTGTTCCTAGAACTGAGAAACTACATGAACAGTTAGTTCAGTTCCACGGAAATTAGAAAATTAATTTTAATTGGCCTGGTCTTCTGGAAAGTCTCAATGATTTCTATCTTAAATTCACACTTCCGCAGAAAAAGTGAACATGTGTCATATTTAAGGAGTTAGCACTACTACTTAGCAAAGCAGTAAGTTAATAAGGTTAAAATTCATGTCAGACTGTGCTGTGCAGAAATGCTTCTCTTACCTATGGAGTCTGGCATGGGTGTACTGCAAGAACACACCTGTATCCCCTCGACTTTGGAGAGCTCGATCCCAGCTAAACTGGTAATCAGATGCCAGAAGGCCCCGGAAGTCCTGGAACAATAAATTGATGTCACCCAGACACAGCTCTTCGTCTCAATTTGCAACTCCTCACAGACAATGCAGACACCTCGTGAGGCAGCTCAGACTCACCTGAACTATGAGTGCTGCAAGGCCAACCTTCTCTGCTGTCTCCACAGGATCTTGGATCTCTTTGGTTGCTGAAGAGAAACAGAAAAACATTGTTAAGTCTGCAGTACCATAATGACTCCTGCTCAGACTTGCCAATAAAAGAGCAGATCTTCCATAACTGTAAACTAGCAATATGGAAATTGTCAGGATGCATGCAGCAAGGAGTCCAGGATAAATCTTTATTAAAAGCTGAAAACAGCTGTTTCACATGGGCTTTTTCCCCACTTCCCCTTGTATGTGTAGCACAGATTTTGAGGTGAGAAGGCTCCATTACAACAGACTGTGCAGGCTACACTGAATTCCTTTTCATAACTATGACAGGCAATCTCCAAGATCAGGGAAATGCAGATTTTGTTGAAAAAACTAATAAAAAGCTCCAAGTAACACAAGATGCATAAACAAAAAAAAGTTGTTCCAATGGCTAATGGACCATTTGGATGTACATTTAGGGAGTATGCACACCATCCACTGTAAATATCTAAACTGACTATACTGAGGGAATCTGAACTGGGAGAATCATGGAATGCTTTGGGTTTGAAGAGACCTTTAAAGATCACCCAGTCCAAACCCCCTGCCACATGCAGGGACACCACCTCCTTGTCCATTTTACAAGGAAAATCATCAGTTCCAAAAAAGCTGAGGAGACAGAGCAAGAAAGATGCATACTACTTAAGCTGATCAGATCGTTGGCTCAACCCAGCACCTAACTCCAGAGAGCACAAGAGGGGGCAGCATTTCACTGGGAACTGCTTGGATCTGTAGTGCATCAGGAGGAAACGATCCTGGAGCCACAGCCCGGTGAGGTGCAGGCAAACCCCCCCCCTCCCCTTCAGCACAATCTGGGGCAGGGCAGTGACCTCCTGGTACTTGGGAACAGCCACGAGGCTGGCACGGTGACAAGGCAGCAGAGGCAGGAAAGCAAGGGTAGCTCTTGCCAGAGAAAATTGTCAGGGCTATAAATCCTTTGCATGAAATCTGACTGATCCCTGAACTCCAGCCCCAGATCTACTACTGATTAATTTGTCCCTCCAGAAAAAAACAATTGTTGTTCCCAAAAGGCAGGTACTTCCTTCTCAGAGCATGATAAAATAATTTCACTGAATGTTAGAATTCACAAATCTGCAATTTAGGGGAGTTCACAGAATTGCAAAGGATTAGTGTAATGTTGTTTATATTATGGTTAGTACAAAAAGAAAGAAAAAGAGCATATTACTGTGATTAATGCAATACAGGGAGAAGTGAAGGGTGGAAAAGATGACACAATGTGATCAACACAGAACATCAAAAGAAGCTAATAAGACCTGAAATAGCTAACTTTTTGTGGCAGTCATGTTTTGTAACATCCTTGAGCGAACTTCATTTAAAACATCTTCCAGAAAAATTACTTCTCCTCTCCGAGTCTTCATACCTTGAACTAGACCAAAAGACACATGCTGGCACCTGTGTTGAGAAGCAGCAGGACCAAAATTATATTTCAATCGAGAGAAACGTTTGCAGTGTTTTTTCAGAGCTGGATTCTCTACCAGGAAACAGCAATAACAGCTGAATAAATAACACTCCAACGTGGGAAGCTCAGTGATATAATCAGTAACTCTCATTTCAGCAACCAAGCTCCATACTTGTTATATAATGGGAAAATTATGATCAGAGTTATGATAGCCTGGTCATTTGTGTGCTCTCAGGAATCTCTTGCTACTAGCTTTAGTACAGAGGCCTCAATGCAATAATTTGAAATAAATTGAGGAGAGGCAGGATGTAGACAGATCAAATTACTGTGGCAACAGAGATCTCTTAATATAATTAGAAAAGGAGTCATAATAATTCTATTGTGGCCACATTAGGCTAACAGTATAATTAATCATTGCTAATAATAAAGCATTCACTGTTTCTGCTTGTAATATTCCCAAGCATTATTCCTGATTCAGAATCTAAGTCATTTTAGCACAACTTTAAGCACTGTGAAAGGAGGCAAGTTAGTATTCCTGAAGGCTAAAACCCTATATATAACCACAAAAGACATGCAGTCTGGCAGAGAGGAATATGATTTAGTCTGGAGATCCATTACTGACCTTTGCTCAGATTGCTAACAAGATTGGTAATTACAGTGAATAACAGCAGGGATACACTTCCCTGCAATAGATACTTCAAGCCTGAAGCATGATTCAGACTCAGATTCTGATCTCTGCTAAAATAAAATACTTTAAGAGGTAATAATTTAATATGTGACCACACAATATCCCAGAAGCTATGCCACAAAGTCTCTTAAAAATTGTTTCTCTTTTCCACATCAGGCAGTTATGAAAAACCTGTTAAATGAGAGACAGGGCTGTTTTTCACATCCTAAACACACAGCAATGATTCCATCCACAAATAAATCAGACCAGCAGGAGTGGACACACAGAATGAAAAGGCTGCTGATAAGGACCTGAGGCCCACATTGCACATAATTCTGAGGGTTTGTTTTTCTGTTGGACTAGTACTAGTTGGGTTCTAGAGGCAAAATGTCTGCTTGTACTCTGGAGTCCACTACTTGCACACCAGCATCACATCTTGTAGCTTAGATTCATCCAAAATGCCTACATGATGTACGCTATAGCATAGTGGTGGATGGATACCAGCAGGAGAGTCTCCTCAAAAGAACACTCAGCTGAAGTTCCAATGGACATATTATATACATTCTTGAGGAAAAAGAAATTAACCACCAAAACCAATATATAATTACAATTTTTAAGTACATACCTTTCTGCCCAGTCATAACCCATGAGCTTCAGTATTTGGAATAAATGTTGAAAGTGATTGCTTTGGCTTTTATCTGTCTAAGGAATAGAATTGATGCATATCAGAAAACACTACTAGTCTGATAAGGAGTAGCTTTGAACACACAAACACACAATACCACAGTGCCAGTAAGGCATTGCAAGCAAAATTAAGACCCATGAAGACAAGCAAGACGCGAAAATTGTGACAGCTGGAATCTACAGCAATGGGATTTTGAATTATGTTAGAAAAAGAAATCTACCTTTTCAGAAATTATTATTCTCAGGTCATGAAGGCAAAGACATGGAGTGACAGGAAACATTAATGTTCTTTAGTTTCTCATGATCTGAGAGATGCCCATCAAACTAAACATCTGTTGTCACTTCAGAACCTTGCTGCTCTTGTTATACCCCTGGGTTATATCACCAAACTCCAAGGGTCCTTCAGCTTAGAAACAGAACACCTCTTTGGCTGTCTGCCTCCAGAACCCACTAGTTCCTATTGTCTCCAGCATGATTTGTAGTTTTACATCATAAGGCAGGTACATAATTTTAAAAAATGTATAAATTACCACAATTTCATAACAATGATGCATCTTGTGCTCTCTTCCACTTTCAGTTACACTCTCCTACAAACTGAAGTTATTTCTGATTGCATGTTGTGTTTAACAGCCTTCACATGTGTTTCTAGCTACAGCTGCTGCTATGAGGTTCATTTTCCTACCTAGTTGTTTTGACTGCCTCACTCAGACTCTTTTTATCCCTCCTTAAAAAACAGTACAGAGATAACCAAATAATCACTATTTCTCATTTGTTTGCTGTTCTGGGACAAGGAGTGTAATGCTTATCTTGTGCTCCTTCTCAACTACCACTGTATAAGCACCTGCCTCCTCTCTCTTAGTTCCTCATAACCTGCTCTGCTCCTGGGAATCACCTCTCCATGCTGACTCACAAGCAAGGCTGATAAATGGACAGCAGTGGCTGGTGCTTCAAACAAGGCTTTCCAAGTCCTTTTCCATGCACCTTACAGATGAGGTGCATCTCTCCACAAAGCCAGACCTAACTCATTAAGTGGCTGGCTTTAAGGCAGAAGTCTGCCAGCATGGATTATATCTAATTCTTCATATCTAAAAGCATTTTCATCTCCTTTTTGAGTGCAACATTCAGTGGAATCTTAGTACCTCTTTCATACCATGCCACACATTTTAAGATGTTTTGAATATTTGGCTCATACCACTGCCTTTTTATGAAATAAGTAGGATTTTTTTAAAACCAAAACTGATGAACACACTGATTTACAGTATTATAAGTAGTAAATCAATTTAATGTTCTTCTAAAGAAGTTGATCTGATGAAAATGAGATGATCTTGTGAAATAAGACTCTGGAGGCTCTAAATAATTTCTTGTAACAAGATCAGCATTCTGAAATATGTTTGTATTTAATTATTAAAGACTAAAATCATTAGCATTCTCATGTAATGCCATGAAGTCCTCCTGCCTCTGGTAACACTGAGTGAAGTCCTAACTCACTACAAAGCAGTGCCACAAAACAGCAGCAAAGCTCAGCAAGGCTGGCAGTTCCCTCACCAGGCTGTCTGTCCCAGAAGTCTTCTAAGGGTTTGTTTTGCTCTTTTATTTTATGACCCACTTTCTCAGCCCCCAGAAAGTTAGAAATTATAAAAATACTAACCATGTCCTCTGAAAACCATACAGCCTGAGCAAGGCTGAGAGGACAGGACAGGCTAATCTGCCATTTCCCACTTGGATGAGACATTGGCTGTGATGGACACATGAGTCACATCACAGTCTGGCTGTGCATCTCTTTGGACTTGAAGGAGACCAGGGAGGCCCAGTCAAGGAATTAAGCAGTGACTGGAGTTCAGCTACAGCAGCAGTCTGCTCAAGACTCTTGTTCCTATGCTTGCTCCTACTATTAGCTGAAAGTTCAGCTGACATCTCAATTTGTGCAAAGTGGACACCCAACTATTTTTTTTTTTTCTAATTGTTCCTTTTCCCTTGGTCCCTGCTTCCTCCTGGAACATCAAACACAAATAATTGCCCACCCACATGAACCAGACAGGAAGCATCCTTAACATCTAAAGCACTGCACTCCACATTGCCCTTTGATGCCGATGAACTCACTGTTCCAGCCAGCAGGGGCAGAAAACCATCCATCAAAACCAAACAACTTCCCCCAGAATAACCAAAAAGTCCCTGTTCTATGACAACATGTAAGAATGGCAAGCTACGGGAAACTTTCTGAAGACTGAAGCTAAAAGAAGGAATGTGGTTTAACTAGAAGTTGCACTTTAAACTGTGTATTTAATGTTTTGCTTACTGATCTCTCACCCTGCATCTTGTTATGCGTCACATTATATTGACTGTTGAAAAAGCTGTACAGAGAAGGTACAAGGACATGACCAAACATGACCACATACAGATTTTTTTCCATATGTTGCTAATTCTGGACTTCATATAAAAGAACATGGCTTTTGTAATTTTTTCTCTAAATCTGAGAAAAAAATTCAAAAGCATCACACAATATTTTCTTCCTAATATGAGATCAAAAACAGTTTTAGACAAGTATGGACACAGTCCTGCTATTCCTATCCATTATTGATATTGTGAGAATTGTGAAAAAACAAAATAATGAAACCAATAAATATAAAAAGATTCCCTGTCTACAACTGCTTCATTCATGTTGATTAAGTAATGCTTTATCTGCAAGTTCTACATAATGAAACTAAGGCATTGTTCAAAGCCATAAAAATGTACATTTCAGATAAGATATCAGGACTTCAGAGTAGACTTAGATTCATTTTAGACCCTTAATTTCTAAATTAACTTTTTAAAACCCTTTATAATAGTAACAGCTTTTTCTGGTTTGTTTAATTATTAATCACAACATCTATAAGGAAAATAAAATGTCAAATCAAGTAAGAGTTCCTTTCAAACTAATTGCAATGAGTAGAGACTAACTCCAGAGCTAATTTTCATAAAATCATACAAAGGCTAGGGTTGGAAGGCACCTTAGATCATCTTGTTCCACCCCCTGCTGCTGTGGGAAAGGCCATCTCCCCATGCTCAGAGCACCATGCAACCTGGCCTTGAACACTTGCAGGGATGAGGCATCCACTGCTTCTCTGGGCAATCTGTTCCTGTGCCTCAGCACCCTCAGAGTGACAAATTTTTTCCTAATATCTAACCTAAACCTACTCTTTCAGTTTAAAGGTATTTTTCAGCCATTCTGGGGGTCATGCACTGGAACAGAACCAAGAAACACTGCCACACAGAGGCACATCTGCTGGGCAGTAAGGGCATCCATTTTACTGCCAAAAATACTGTGTGTCAAAGTCATATCGCAAGCCAGAGGCCCCTGGGTTAGTGGAGAGAGTCAGCAGCAAAGTGTGTGCTGAATCCAGAATTACTTACCACATAAATCATGGTATCCCAGCTGTGCTTACTCATTCTGTCTATAGCAGCTGCAAGATCTCTGAAAGATAATGAGAAACTATTTGGACTTTTGCTCAGACATACCTCACTAACTTGCCTTTTAGAAAAATAACCCATTTTTTATGGAGGGGCGAAGACTTCCTGAAGAGAAGGATCCATGTATGCCTTACACATAAAAAAGGGACATGTGTACTTTGCTGATGACATGTCTGAAATGTTTTTTTAAACCACTACCTAAGAAAGTTACTGAGGAAACTGTTCTTTGGTGCAGAGTAAGTCCAATGTCTGTCTGCCTGCTGGGACCTGAGAGAAACAACCCTTTCCTGGAAAAGTAACCTGAGTTCAGCCTTAGCTTAAATGGTACAAAGCTCATCTACACATGCACAAGTGCACAGGACTGTCACAGGAGAACCATGAGCCTTGTATTCCAACCTGAAAAAAGCATTTGCATTGCACAAGACTTGTTATGGAATGCTGAGGGGAGGAGCCAAAGATAAGAAAAGAGAAGGAGAAGAGGATAACAGGGATGGGTGGCTTGTAAGTTGATTGCTGATTTTATGTTTGTGTAGTTCTGTCCTGCACCTCATCAGCACAGTCTGTCCTGTCTTCCCATGAAACTCCATTTCAAACTCTCCTGGGGTGAGGGGGCTCTCTCCTCTGTGTGCACATGGATCTGGAGTGTCAGCAGCTGCAGCTGGGGCCTACAGCTCATGTAGGCCATGCATCTGTGGTGCCAGAGACTGAGGGGACTGGGCATAAGTGAAATGAAATGGTAACAGCTGGAGCCTGACCAGGGGTCATAAGGTGTGTCAGCCCAACAGCTGGAGTGAGGACACACACATCCTCCTGTGACTGACAGCAAATACCAAGCTGAATAGCCAAGCAATTAGGCAAAGTATCCTGGGAAGTCTCCGGATGCGCCTGCAGAGATGGGGCACCCAGAGCAGTCCGTACTGTTGGGTCCAGGCCAACTGCTGAAGAGACCACAGGGACTCCAGCTACTGGAGGGATACACAGTGCGCGCACAATACACGTGTACATTGATTGAATTATTAAATAATACACTTATCACATACATAACACAAGCATATTTATCACAATATATATATCACATACACATATGTATCTATACACATGCAGCTATTTCTTCACAGGAATAGATACTCATCCTAATCATCCAGAGGGGAACAAAATGCCAAGGGAACAATGTGCTGAGTGGTTTTAGGTCTGTGGAGATCAGGTGCTCATGCTTACTCCTGGCTGACCTGCGGGCATGGAGCTATGGCATCTCTGTCTCTATTTGGCTACAGGATTCAGCAGCTCCCTAATGCACAGGATTGACTGTAGCATCTCTCTAATACCCTTGCCTTGAAATGCTGTACAGAGTTTACCCTGAGGGCTAGACACTAGATTTATTTACATTCCTGGCACAAAGAAACTGTTAAGGCTTCCATATTAAAATACCCAAGAGAAATTTTAGGATACTGATGAGATGGCTGAAAAACAGCAATAAAATTGATGTTACAGCACTGGTGGTCCACTGAGTCAATGAAGACAAGGCTGAACAAGCAATTTTTTTCCTGTATCACACCATCAATAAACATTTTAAGCAAAGGTCTTTTTAAAACCTTTATTATTTGGCAACTGTTTATTAGAACCAGAGATTCCAGGTTTGTTTTCAAAGTTAGTAGCTGGAGAAAGTATTATGATTTAAGCAAAGAGGAGATTTACTAACATTACTTAGGGGAAGGAAAAGCATTTAAAAGCCATTTTCATCCCATCATAGATACATTGCTAGTTTCACTTACAACTATCCTAGAAATAAAAATCTTCAGAATCCACACCATCAGCTATAAATGCGCTCATGTTCCACAGTTCCCTGGCCAAATGACTGGCAAGGAGCACAGATGGGCTTACTTGCCTTGTTATATAAAGAGATGTCCCATCACTGCGCATGACGGTGGAAACTGTTGACAGGTCTTTCTTCTCCGAGAGATCCACAACTCCTGTCCCTTTTCTGTAAGTTGAGGGAAATACTGATGTCACTGCAAGCTATTACACAGTAAGAGTGAGGTCAGAGCCAAAACCAAGACCTCTTGCCAAAAGCCCCCTTCCCTCTAGACAGTCTCATTCTTTTTCTTTGAATGACCATCTCCTTTCAGTCTTTTTGAAGTTCCTGTAAGTTTGCCGTCACCACTGCTGATGCCAGGGAGCAGCCTGCCCACATTCTGGTGCATTCCATGATTACAGCCTCCATCCCAGTTCAGCCAGGCACCTCGTTCATCAAGGCAAGGATCTCATATAATTCGGTTCATCAGCTAGCACACACAGCTAGCAAACTAATCAGCAGCCTAAAACACCATTAGGAGTTGAACACACTCATTGTACCCAATTTGGCAAGGCCAGGCTTCTGTGCTAGTCAGAGAAAAGGAAAATGTAAATTTTAACTGTGACTGCACAAATCCTGATGGTCTTCTACTAGAACAGCTACCAAAACCACATAAAGAAAACTCTTCCCCTCAGATTATGTACAAACCTCACTCATCTTGTTTGAAGTGCAACTGAGATGTTAAATAAAGTGCACCAATAGACTGAATGAGTTCATACATTGTTTTCTGAAGTAGTCCTTTATCTTCCAACATCTTCAGAACTTCCTGGGCCTTCTCTTGGTAAAATGACTCTCCAGAATATTCATCAAAGTGCACTCCTAGACGCTGAGAAGTTACAAGAATATCAAAGAAGGGTAATATTGTTAAGATCAAGGCTAACCATTTTTCCTCAAATTAAGTCAGATGATAGGTCACAGATCAGATACAGTGCAAAGATTAATGTTATTCCAGGAAATGTCACTTCATTGTTAAAAGGAAAGGCTGCTTGGATTTTGATTTAATCAATTTCTACACTAGAATGAATCTCTCCCTGAGGTGAATATGGTGTTCAATGTAACATTCATGAGAAATCAGGCATAAACTGGTTAGAGCAACTCATACACAATTTTGAGGCAAGTCTCTTCCTTGCTGTGCTGAAGGTGAAACCAGTGAGCTGCAGAGGAGCTACCTGGACATAAAATCAACCCTATTTTAAAAGGATGCTAAAAGGAATTTTAAAAAGTAAAAGCTGCTCACAAACATCGCTGAGCATATGGAAATCATCATTACCATGAAGGATGAGGGTATATTCAGAGGAGACAAGATGACCTTAACTGTCAGACCTGGTCAGTTCATCAGTTCAATACATTTTAGTTTAAATGAAATTGGGAGGGAAAGACCTAGCTGTACCAGTCATCATGTGATCAGTGATGGGTGACCTTCAAGGTGCAGCTGCACACAGCCCAGTACCTAATGGCCTTCAGAGGCCACATTTCCACAAGAACTATCAAGGGTCTCACTTAGGAGATCTTAAGAGTACTTTCTTGGCTCCAGTGACATGTTTCAGGGAAGAAGCTAAAGCACAGCCAGGTTATCTGGATTATAAGCTGTTTCAAAATTTTTAAGGTTAATTTTTAGGTCAGTGGCACAAACATGCCCCATGAAACAGCAGACACTGGCTCCACTCATGAGATCACAGTGTGCAACAGAAAGCTCTCTATTAGCTCAACTCCACCTGCAGGGAACTCCTGCTGCTGTAATGTCTTACACCCAATTTAATATGAACCATTACAACATTAGATCAGAAATGTGAAAACAGAGTCACCTGCTAATAAAATTTATTACATGGAAGCTTTTAAATTTGGTGGGTTGTTGCTGACTTCAAAGATAAAGCAAAACCAAGCAATATTTATTCATGCTGCTTAGCACCACACTTTGAGCCTCAGGACTTTTGAGAAGGGAGAATTAGCCTAAAGGAGAATTACCAGGACACTATTAAATAAAACATATCTAGCACACCAGCAACTGTAGTGACAGCCTACTTGGATGAGAAATCAACTACTGCGCTTTTTCCAAGCGGAATGAGGCTCAGCCTGGCATACTGAGAAAGAGATTCCCCACAACACTCTAAAGTTTATGGGAAAGGCAATGAACTGGTAAAATTAGAGCAATCTCTGATCCCAAGTGAGTCCACTGCTTGGCAGTCTCCGACATGAAAAGGCACTGCACACTGTCAATCACATTGATGAAGCAATATAGAAAGAGATCATTTTACCAACAACACAGAAAAAACATTTGGATGATTTGTACCTTATAAATCCGGATGTATTCCTCAATACTGAGGTCTCTAAATTGCTTCCAAATTGACAAGGCCTGCTCATCATGTTCCTCCAGTTTTCTAAAGAAATCCTTAGCCAGCTTTCTTGTGTTTTCATCTTCTGCTGCTTTGTTAATCTGCACGTACACCTAAAATATGACACTGAAAATGTTGAAGTAGTATAATCTTCTCCTCCAATAAAAACAGTTCTACAAGAACAATACAAATACATTTAAAGATGACATGTTTAACATCAAAATTTTAAAATACTTGTTTAAGCAACACATTCCCCATTTAAAGAAAGAATGAATAGCCCAAAGCTCAATAGGAAAATGCGCAGCTTATCTTGAAAGAAGACTAATGCCCTAATTCCTTACTGCTGCCACTATCATCCTCTTCATAACCTTGAGACAACTGCAGCAAAATATGGAAGAACTAATTTATGCATGGAAGGGAACTATCACAGACTTTAAAACCACAGCCATGTCTTCAGAGGACCAGAAAATTGACATTTATGGCAACTGCACTGCCTAAAATTGAGATAGCAGTTGAAGCAGCAAAGTCTTTTATAGACTCAGTATTTTACAAGCTTTTATTCATAGGAAAGATTGATTTCACACACCAGCAGAAAAAGCACCACTTTGAAACACATTTCAGTTTTTGATACAGCCAGGCATACAGCTGAACAAACACTTAAAAACTGTGAATAACTGAGAAACTAATTTGGTCTCAAACAACTACTGTTTCAGAATCTTTTGTATCTTGGCTGAATCTCTACGCTTAAAGGCAATTTTTTTAAGGTCACAAAGTCTACATGCTACTGCAACAACTGGTATTTTGAAACTTTAGGGCAAAATTCAAGCATAAAAAATTTAAATTCTAAGAGTGGACTGAAATTACAAATAAAAGTGAAGTAATACACAGTGAAGCACAACACTAAAAATACGACTGATTCTTGTTTTCTCTTTAAACCAGTCCTACAGCTCTAAAACACCTCAGTGCTGAGAATCTATCAACTTAAATCCGTAGGGCTCAGGGATGAGGGAACACGCAGAAAAAGTTTACCTGTGTCAAAGAAGCTGGCATGCTCAGAAGGAGCTACCCTGCCATATAAACAATCTGACATGCATTCAGCTGCTGAGTACCCAAGTATTCAAATACAGCGTGTTCCTTTGCCACGAGACAGATTTGTACAGAACAGTTGTCCTGTGGCACACTGCCTGAACACCAACATGAGCCACAGCTCCCATATCCAGCCCCGAGGAGGAAGCACAGCTCAGCTCTGTGGTAAGAAAACACCTGAGAGTGCCACACAAGAACCCTGACTAAGCCCCAATAACATGTGAGATCTCTTAGAGGATGAGGGCTTGAACATTAGTCATCCTCTCCTCTTGGTTACTGGGTCTGTGCAGGTCAGTGCATAAATCCCTTATGTGTTTTTTTATCCACATCACACACAAACTACCATTTACGAGTATCAAAAAATCAACAAAAAGTAAATACTCAGATGCTACATAAATCCCTTATGTGTTTTTTATCTATATCACACACAAAGTACCATTTACGAGTATCAAAAAATCAACAAAAAGTAAATACTCAGATGGTATCAGGCATGTTTGAGAGCAACCCAACAAACCATAACCTGTTTAATCCTGGAAAGGCAAATCTAGTTGGTCTTCTCTAAACTTACCTCAAAAAGGTGTTGCAAAGGACTAGATTTTAGTTTTTCTTTGTTGCCAAAGGATTGGAAACCAACACCCAATAAGCCTTGAATAACAATTACATATAGAGTTAGACAACAGACCAGAGTATATTGACAGGTTATTTTTGTAAGTCTAGTCTTAACACTAACATTTTAAAAGAATATAATGGTGTATGCTAAAAAAAAAAAAAAAATAATCAAAAGCATAACATATTATTCCACTGCACAAACACCACCCCCCCACCAGAAATATAACAGCTAAAAAACAGTAAGAAGTACTATGCTGATTTTTCAATTCCTCATGAAAGGAATTTGTGTTTCTAGACTTGTACAGACAATTATCTTTTACACAGCAACAAGATGTAAATGAGAAGCCACACAGTGGTGGAAACCGTCCAGCAACAGAGCATGCTCAGAAGCCCTTGTTTTGCTTCCTCCCTTATTAGTATTATCATTTTAAGGACAATAAGAACTGGGATACAACATAGAATGCCTCATACTCATGCAATGTTTTCAAGGGAAATGTTTGCTGTGTCTGCTTAGAATATGCAGCTTTTTGTGAGCATCCAATTCGGCTTCAGGACTTTCCAAAAGCCATCTAAAAGGGAAAGAAATCCAAATCCCAATCCTGTTGTCTAAATGAAAAGACCCCATTAACTCCTTCAGTAATGCAGCAATATTAACTCATCTGCCTTTTAGATTATCTGAGACTGACTTTAAGGCCGGCTTATTCCTCTGAGCTGACAAGGACCGGGACTGATGTAGGAATAGGTATGCGGGTATCCCTTTGGAAAACTCTCTGCAGCTAAACAAATAGCACGGTCTCAAGAATTTCCCTCTTAGAAACACTGAATACAGAAGAGCAGAAGAAGGCATGGCAGACTTAAAGAAGAAAAACAGGTCAGGTTTTAGGAAACACAATTAGTATTGTATTAGTAATCCTACTGAAAGGAAGTTTAGTTAAGGACAGCTTGTTCTATGAGCAATCAGAGGTGTTTCCTAATGATGTCTCTCAGATATTAGTGTACCTAAACATTCCACTATTCAGTGCTGACTTCACACTCCAATCTCCAGCACAACTGTCAGTCTTTATTCTACCCAAACACATCCTTCCTTCTTCTGTCTTTCCCATATTATCCCCAGACGCTGTTACACTCACAGTTAATGGCAAGATGCAGCCCATGCTGGAACTGATTCTGACTTAGAGGTGCTGACTGGTTAGCCAGCAGGTTAAACACAGTAGTTAACTTTCTCTCCCAGAGGTCAATACATTGTATTTCTGCCCTTACTGGGCTGCCAACTGTCATAATGCCAAAAGAAATTAATTCTTGTGGAAATGTTTTTCTTTGTCAGATCTGGCTAAAATTGCCCAGTGGGGTCAAAATTTATTAGGGGCAGAGTGACAGGAAGACGGATAGATAGTGTGACTGCATAGGCTTTGTTACCTTAAGATACCTGCCCCAAAACTGCCTAAAGGCTGAGGGCCTCTCTGCTATGTTTCAGGAAAATATGTTTTCAATTCTTACATTTTAAAGTCTCTGACAATAGCAGGTGTAAAACCAGCTGACAGATCCTTAATTATAGCACTTTCTCAGAAAAAGGACCATTACAGTAATACTGCTATGCTATAATCCTGTGAAGCAGGACCATTATTTGTTATAATACTGCCATATATTTGAGCTGAGCCAGTCCAAATAAAGAGGGGAGTACCTACTTTGAAAAAAAAAATAGTTGGAACTACTAGGTCAGAAGAACGATTCTAAGAGTTGTGTGCTGCACAAATGGCACACATGTAAATTACAGGTACTGTGACAGTTATACCTTCAGGAACCCTTATATTCAAATACTTAAAATTCTTGATATTCAGACTTCAGAGTGCTACTTAGTATCTTCAAAGGCAGACTGAATGAGGTCAGCTGAGAAGCCTTTTATCCACCCAGCATTTCACTGCTTAACTGTCATTGCCACATTCATTATACAATAGCATAGTGATAAAATTATGTCTAAGGGGCAAACGTGAATGAAATATGCAAGGATGAAATTTACTCAATTTTTGGTGAACTCATTCTGTATTCAATTCTTATGAAACAAATCATAAGCGAAACAAAGCTATAAGCTACAGTTTCATGCTATCACCTACAGAAACACAATCAAGAAAGACAAGCTGCAGGGGACATAATTTAATAAAGGAAAGAATGTTTTATGACTGCTCTCACAGTCCTGAGAATGTTACACTGCACTGTCTAAAACCCAGGAACTTAGTCTACAATGACAACAGGTAGAATTGAATGTATTTTAGTTATCTACACTTACAAAGTTGAATATAAAAATGGAGTGAAAGTACAGTACTGACTTTAAATTTTCAACCTGATTCTGTTCATAAAATTGATTACTTGATGTCCCCAAAACCAGCAGTACCATTGAAACTGGAGGAGGCAGCACAAGGGCTGGAATAACCAGAAGCGACCACTTGACACACATTGCACTTTGTGTTTGCCACTGAATAAATGGACAGTTTCCAGAGCCTACTACAGAAGAAGTGGGAATTTCTATAGTTTTCAGAGGTGCACCAGCTTTCAAGAATGAGGAAGTGGCCATGACTGCCTTTATTTAAAGGCCTAAAAATATGCCAAAACAGCTTTTTGGGGAAAATTAGAAATATAGATCAATTTAAAATGCAACACTAACAACAGAAGTCAACAAAGCTGTGAATGCTATGAATGGGTCAGCTGCCATAACAGAGGGATAGCTACAGATCCAGCAATGGGACATAAATGATCTCTGGTGTGGCAATAAACATCAAGCCATGCATCCTCAGGCTGCACTTGAGAGGACTTTCCAGTCCCCACTGATCTGATGATTTCAGAAGAGACGGGGTGCCCATGTGGGTGCATACTGGACTGATAGTCTTCCATTCTATTCACATGCACATTCTACATCTACACACCTCTCTTCTGCTACACTTTAAGGGGAAACTGAATATTTTGGGGAAAACGTAGGGATATCTCTAAAGATATCTCTCTGGGTCCCAATGTGCCAAAATGAGGTTGCTGTGGCAATTAATTAAAGCTCTATGAATAATGAGAAAAGGAAAACCAACAAAAAACAAACAAAACAACAAAAAAGCCCAAAAAAACACCCCAAAACCAAGCAACCAAAAAGCCAAAATCCAAACCCAAACCAAAACATATAACCCCCAAACTACACATTTAGTCCGAGAGAGGAGCTACTGAGGAACAGTTGGATAAATTTGATCCCGTTATTTCTTGGACATCAGTACAGGTCATACTGCTGATGGATCAGTCTGGATTGTTTTGTTCAGATTTTTTAAGGAAATGAACTATACATTAAACCCATGGAAACAAGATATTCCTTAGGAGCACAGAGTGAATCCAGTGGGCCTACAAACACTGAAGCTGGAAACCTAGACCGTACTATACAGTAGAAAAGGGCACAGCACAAAAAACATCGAAACATACCAAACTGCATGCCCCAGTCACCAAGGTAATTTATTCTCACTACTTCATGTCCCAGCGCAACTTTGAGATTTGCTATAAAATTCCCTGGTAATGAAACAAAAATGATATTATTATTCAGTTGTAGGTAGTCTCTCATCCCTATAGAACAGTCTTCTGGTTTTGTACCACCTGTTTTCAAAATGAAGAGGAAAAGCAATCAGATGGAATACTCCACAGGATTTGCTAAAACACCTGACAACTGAAAGCAGCAGTAGCAGTAATTGTAAAAAGCAAGTTACTTTCTGAGCAGGAAAAGAAAAGCTGTGCATCTCATCAGTGCCACAAAGTGTCTCACACTACAGGGATAGAAACATACACAGGTGGATGTACATGCACATATTGCCAAGATTAGACCACAAAAGACTTTTTGGAGTCATCTTGTATTCTCACAAATACATGGCGTTATACATAATTCCATCACAGTCAGCCACCTTCATACCAGGTTAGGCAAGCACTCAAAATTCACAAACTGCTGTTAACTGAGTTGTTAAAAATAGACATCAAGTCCTGAACATCTATAGACTGTTGGAGCAGTACTGAGCTCTGCACTTAACAGACTATGCTCCAAACCTGTAATGTCATATAAGGACATATAAATAAGTTCCAGCTGCTCTTAAAACAAAAACTCTCTTCATCTCTCCCGTGAGCTTAGTTATAACCCTAGAATTACAAAGGAGAAATACCCACATCCCTTCCTCTATTTTCCTGTGATTTAAAGGTACCTTTTAATTACAATACTGCTGTAAAGGATGCAGAAAGCTCGCTTCTTGTATTGTTATAATATCACATTATAGCTTGCAATTACTTCCAGTTCCATTCCCTGTAATTAATTAATTGTCTTACTCTGGGACAAACATTGCTCTACAGAACTACTTTTTTTCCACTACTTGGAAAGTGGTTTTTTTTTTTAATTTAACAAAAGATCCAGAAATGGAACATAAAAAACCCCAAAATACATCATTTCACTCAACTATCTGTCCATGGAAGAAGCAATTATTTTGCATAATTAGTAACTATACATGATGAATTAAGTATAATTAAAAACTGATACATTATCAGATACACAGATTTTCTAGGATCTTCTGCTACAACCTACTAGTTTTTATTGTGAGATCAGGAAATGAGGAGTAAATACAGTTTTCCATATACCATTAGAGCACTGCAGTAGAAATTTATTAATTATGCTATTAGAAATTACATGAACTATCTCAGTAATGCTGGCATAAAGAAATTAGCATATAAAAGCAAGCTTTTTGCAGGACAGCCACCAAGACATAATGATCTGAACTGCTCTGCAGTCCAGTACAAATTGAGTTTAAAATTCAAAGGACTCTCATAACACCTCCATAAAAACTGCCTTGGGTGTCTTTGAAGACCAATTTTAAGCTACTTCATTTAATATTCACAGTCGTAAAACTATATTATGTGTGACTTAATAAATCTGCCAGCGACACACCACGTTCTTTTCTTCCCTGCATAATGAGCAGAAAGGTTTTAATTAGCAAGGGGGGCCTGACAGGGCCACTGACACCAGAGGAGGGAGATGTCAGCAGTGCTTCCCTGTCAGGTGAGGCAGGCAGACAGAGCAGCCCTCCCAGGAGGCAGTGAAATGCACACTCACCTACTATGGTGGAACGCAGGTGTCCTATGTGAAACTTTTTGGCAATATTAGGGGAGCTGTAACAGAATTTTTACAAATAATGATTGTTCAGTGGACAAAACTGCCAGATCACCAAGTTAAAAGAACTCAACTCATGCATCTAGAAGAGATGAAATAAAAGCTCCATTTTCAAATTTCCCATAAGATTCCCTGATTAGCTTCTGTCCTAGACAGCAAGCTTTCATATCCAACCAGTTTTCCCCCCAGTATCAGTTAACAGACAGTGTTGTGGTTAAACCACCCCACAAACAGCAACAAAAAAAAAAATCTAACCAACGCCCAGTTGTGCTGGTGACAAAGAGCCAAAATTATCTTTTCACCTTTTACAAGTTTTGGACATATGGATCATTCTCCTCATGTCTTTTTCAGAGATAAACCAGGAGGAGAGATCTTATGCACAAGGATCAGCAACCAAAATTACATCTTTCCAGCAATGCCCCCCCCCCCAAAGAAAAAAAAAAAAACAAAAAAAAAAAAAAAAAACCCCCAAAAAAACAAAAAAAACCCAAAAAAAACAAAAAAAACCCAAAAAAAACAAAAAAAACCCAAAAAAAACAAAAAAAACCCAAAAAAAACAAAAAAAACCCAAAAAAAACAAAAAAAACCCAAAAAAAACAAAAAAAACCCAAAAAAAACAAAAAAAACCCAAAAAAAACAAAAAAAACCCAAAAAAAACAAAAAAAACCCAAAAAAAACAAAAAAAACCCAAAAAAAACAAAAAAAACCCAAAAAAAACAAAAAAAACCCAAAAAAAACAAAAAAAACCCAAAAAAAACAAAAAAAACCCAAAAAAAACAAAAAAAACCCAAAAAAAACAAAAAAAACCCAAAAAAAACAAAAAAAACCCAAAAAAAACAAAAAAAACCCAAAAAAAACAAAAAAAACCCAAAAAAAACAAAAAAAACCCAAAAAAAACAAAAAAAACCCAAAAAAAACAAAAAAAACCCAAAAAAAACAAAAAAAACCCAAAAAAAACAAAAAAAACCCAAAAAAAACAAAAAAAACCCAAAAAAAACAAAAAAAACCCAAAAAAAACAAAAAAAACCCAAAAAAAAAAAAAAAACCCCACAAAAGAGTTTCATCAACAGAAAGCATTTCCAGGAAAACTGCTTGCCAGCCACAAAGGAGACTGATCCCACATCCTTTATTCACATTACTAATTAGATAGCTGGTTTGCCAAGCAAACAAGGTTTCATACACAGATAAAAATGCCAAAAACTTTTGAAAGTTCTATCTGATCAAATAAAAAATTTAAGAGAAATTATAGGCGAAGTTCTGGTGGAAATTAAGGCTGAACTTTGTGAAAACCTTCTACTCTTTTAGTGCCAAAGAAAACCAACTCTTCCATCCTAATGTGTCCAAACAACTCTTCTTTCTCTCTCCCACCTGCAAGTCTGTAAGGCCAGTATGAATGATCTGTACCAAAATATGTCTGCATTGAAAGTCTGCAGGCTGTGTAAAATACCTTAAAATATTCCTCAAGACAGTTTGTGTGAGCTTTATCTGCAATGTGCTCATAGCACCAAGTCATCCCTACATAAACTGAAATGTGTAAGGTCACACAGACCAATGCACCACAGATCTAATCTGTGAAGCTGTATGAACTGGACAAGCTTCCTGAAGATAACAGAAGCCTTTAACAAAGTGAAATATAGTAGAAATCTCACTTCATTCAGTGGAAATTTCTCATTTTTCTCACTCAAAAAATCACTTTAAGTTTTTTCTGCAACAGCTATTTGTTTAAAGAAACAGCATCTGGAAAAACCTTTAATTCTGTTCTTATTATGACACCTAAGAAGGCAAGCTAGACACATACACAAAATTGACTTATTGCCCTATTCTCTAGCAGCCATGGGCTTGGTTACAATGTATTTGTATACTTCAGTCAGGATATTGAGGAATACATCTTCCCTTTGGGATTCTTTCCCCCTTGATTTTTGTTTTTAGCCAAGTGTGTAATAAAAACTATCAAATACTTCTATGTCCGATAAAACCAAGAGTATTTACAAGATGAAAACTTTTGAGTTGTACACTGCAAAAACTCAAAGTAGATGTAAATAAGCCTGCACTTTAAAGCAGAGAGAGAGAGAAAAAAATGAAGAGTTATGATTATTAGTGAACAGCAGATGCATTGTTTCCTCACAAGAGGAAACTTTCTTGAGCCTCATTTTAAATTCTAGGCCTACATAACAAATCAGCAGCAGGAATCCTCAGGGAAAACTTGTGAAAGACAATTTTACACAGAAAATACCTTCCTAAGACAATAGTAGGTATTCTATAGTTTTATACTGAGAAAAGTGATTTTTACCTTAAAGCTCTTGAAAGACACTACTCACCTTTGCTAACAATTCCCTGTTTATTGTAAAATTCACTGTTCCCGGACCAGCGCTGATTGCACTCACTACTGAATCACATTTCAGCTAAGAGAGTAAAACAAAACAGAAACCTTAAATGAAAACAGGTGAACTGTCATTCAATTCACTGTGAATATTAATTTAATCCACTGTAAACATTAAATGTTATTTATTTCTTTGAAGCCATCACAAAGGGATAATTTCATCAAATGTTGTTTGGAAAGGGACACAATGTTATTATTTCCCATTCCTTGAAATGCCACACATATGTTCCACTTCAGACCCTGCCTGTGCACAGTCTGTTTCCTTTGGATTGGGAGCAGTAGTTGAACTCTTGGTACAGACAAAAGCTGAGATGCATTTGACAACTTACACAATAGCTGCCAGCACTTAACAAAAAATAGTTAAGTGACAACATTCTGTGGCACCCCATGTCACAAAATAAAGATATTAAAGGCCAATTTACTAAAAATTTCATTTACTATTTCAATAAGGCACATGTCTTGAAAATTCTGGACCTGTAAGGCATATTTGGCCAACCAACACCTATTGTCAACCGAAATTTGGATCTCTTCACAGGCCAAGAGCTTTGGATCTCAACCTGTCAGGTTTCAGAGTTTCTTATTCAACTAGCTGTCTTTCACAGTGAAGAAGTTGTCTAAAAAACAAAGAAGAGGGATGGAAAGCATATAAAAATATGACACAATCACCTTCTCACTTGATCAGTATCTATGAGAGGGGCAAGCTATACACTCCTACTGAAGCTCATCACCATGAAGAGGAAATTGTACCCCCATGCTAGGTCTCCAGCTTAGACAGTGACCCATCCAGGAGAAATCACAGCTACCTTTGAAATTCTTTTATTTTTGCAAGCTCTGCTAACAACAAATTCCATTGCTAACTCCCAAGCTACATGAAAAGAACATTTACCGTGTTGACATTGAATTTTCCACCTTTCTGTTCTACAAATGGGCCTTTCTACTTACGGGGCAGAGAGAAAATAGAAATACCCACTGGACTTTCTCCACAACATTTGTTCTGATAAACGTTTTCTACATAATCTGTCATTTGTCATGTCAGTAGATTTTATTAAGAGTGTTCATTTGTCCTCTCCACAGCTTTAACCACCTCTTCTCCAAGTGCCCTGTGGTCCTTTAGTAACCAGATGTCCCTGTGCCCAAGGCTGTGCCTAGGATGCCACTGTGCAGTACAGAAGCACTAAAAAACCCAACACAACGTCCCCTCCACAAAGAAGTAACAGTACAAAAACGAAACAAGATTCAGCCAGCCAAACAAAATCAAAAGCCCATGGAAACAAGACCCTTCTGACTTTCTAAAAGACAATTTGCAGTATTCAATACAATTTTCAATACTTCAGAGCACATTACTTCATCTGTTGTGTCATGGCCCTACTATTTAAATCAATTGAAAAAACTTGCATCTCTTTTTGTCTAACCTAAATACCTGTATTTCAAATACTGCATTTCAACTACTTTCAGCTGTTTCAGAACTTGTGGTGTGTATCTGTGCATTGGCACCTCTTCTTCCACCCAAGTCAGAATATTTGTCTTGCTCAAACAGGTCCAAGACATGGATAACTTCAACACCTCAGCAGTGAAGAATGGCATGAGAAATAGTTTAGCTCCTCAGCAGTAACACAACTGGTTTTATTTGTCCTTTTTTCAGTATTAACACCCCAGCTACTGCCATTTCCCAAACCAGCACACCTGAAAAAACTGCTGTTCCAAGAAAACTCAATTTCAAGCACATAAGGATTTGAAAATTAGGCCTGTTTGTCCCAGAGGCCACCTTTATCCACTGACTTTCCAGAGCTGGGTTTTGCAGTCTTTGCTTTTCCAAGCTACCACACATTCAGTTTCCTCCTGGGAAAGCAGCACAGACCATGGCACACCCTTCAGACACCCACCTAACTTCACCAGCACTGTTTACTTCAAATTGTTTGAAAACAACAATTCCACAAGAACCTTAACCAAAGCTGCTTCTCCAGCCTCTGTGAGGATGGTGTGTACAATTACAGTAAGAACAGCCAGCAAACTACTCTGACCCAAACAGATGCCTGCAGAAAGGGTACTTTTTAAATCTTATTACACCCCTTACACCTCTAGTAAGTTCATTATTACACACATGTGTGATGAATTCATTAGCATACCCTTTCAGCAAGCTGCTGAGCTTGAAGATGCAGGTCCTGTGCTAAGCAATCACCAGAACTGTTTTCTATTACAGAAGCAATGGAGAGCTGGAAATCAGCAACATGCCTGAAAAAAAAACCCCAAAAAAACAATCAACATGTGAAAATCAGGAAAAAAAACCTGCTGAAATGCTGGGGAGATTTGGCAGACCCAAGCTGACTCTGCATATGAGAAATGTAATTGCCAAGCATAACCCAGCCACAAATATCTGACGATTCAGTATATTTAGAAAGGTGGACAAGAAGGCCAAATATCACTTTTGCTCGAATACAATCACAAAGTAGAGATGGTGAGAACACCATCTCAAAATAAACAAAAAACATTCTCATGAATAAGCAAAATTTACTTCCTAACATTATTGCAACTCCTGAACAGGACACTGAAATATAACTTGACATTGGCTCTAAGCAGTTTCACATTCAGCTCATCAGTGTTGAAGCCTTTGCCATGCATGCACTG